TGTGTGTGTGTGTGTGTGTGTATGTGTGTGTGTGTGTGTGTGTGACAGACGGCAGCGATGAGGCAACAAGTTCCACTTTGAAAAAACGCTAAATCGGTCTACAAATGGTGCCGTTTGCCCGTGGATTCGCTACCAAAAGTCGCCATTTAAAAAGTACTAATCCACGTTTTTAAGCTCTTATAAAAGACAGAAAACACCACAAAGCAAGGCATTCTCCTTTTTTTTGCTTTCACTCGATTGTTGGATGAATTTTAAGTGTTTCCACGACCGAAAGGACCATTTTTACCGAAGAAATTCGTCCGTTTGGCCGCTGAAAAGAGGAGGCTGAACGGACCAAAGTCCGTCCTTCAGCTGAAGGACGGCGGTTCGAGCGCACGTCAGCAAACATCCATCCTGCTGAAGTGTCCTTGAGCAAGTCACCGAGACCCGGCGCGAGGGCTTTCATGTAAATATAAAAAAAAGGAGCCAGAAAAAGCAGCTTTCATTGGGATGAATGAGGTTTTGCGCTTCGGAAAGCTCCTTTGTGTTTCAGAGATGGAGTCACGCAGCCGGCCGGAGATTTATCCAAATAAAGCGTCGGGCTGAGTAAAAATAAAGAAGGTTCGCAGATTTGTGGAAGAAAACCGGGGTATAGGGGGGGCTCAGCTACCTGTAGTTAGCCATTTATGGCACTAAATTCAATATTTTCTGTTTCTTTGACCTGTGATGCTTCGGCTTGGAGACCAAACGATTTTCACAGAGTTTAAAACTACAGAGAGGGACTTCGTTCGTCACTTTAGAGCCAAAAAACAGACGTCAGGACGACCGCAAACGCCATAAAACATTTAAAAAAACGGTTTAAACCCGAGGCGGAGATGTTGAAACCGTTTTTCACAGCTTTGACGGGGACTCACAGAGGGGCTGCGGCTCGTTTTGGGCGAATCGCTTTAAGTTTTTATATCAAATACATGCAAAACAAACAGGGAATCAACAAAAAAAATAAAAGTTTTCGTTTGAAATCCATTGTCTCTCCATGTTATCCTGCAGTTTATCGTCATTTTTATGAAATCGTTTGGAGGCATGACGTGGTTGTGCCGCCAAGCGAAATGAACTGAAAACGTTTTTATTAATATTATCTTAAAGCACAGCGACCACAGAGTTCCAGGAGATCTCCATTTTCTGTATGTTTGTTTCCGAATATGACGCGAGGCTACGAAGAAATATTCAGATTTAGTTCCACGTGACAGAGTAGAACCAATCGGGCTGCTTTTGGTCAGAGCTAACAACTTTTCAGAGCTGTTAGCCCTGTTAGCTAAAACCAGATTCCCGTGAATTTCGAACCCTGAGTTTGGCTTCAAATCTGAGAGAGACAAGTGAACGGAAGAAAACCGGATCGATCCCCACAGTTTAAACCCATCAGACTGGTCCCAAAACCTCCCAAAAAACGTCCCAAAAGACACGCGTGTCCTTATTTTTAACACCAGACAATATTGTAGCTGAGAATCTTCTATTAGAAATCTGAAAAAAAAACATTATAAATCCGCAGAGAACAGGAGAAAACGAGGCTTAGTTCAATTAAATGGAAATAAATTAGAGAAATTATGGGGAAAACGCATATACTGGATTTTTTCAGAGCCGTTAGCCCTGCTGGCTAATACCAGATTCCCACGAATTTTGAACCCTGCTTTGTCGGGCTCCGGATTTTGCCCCCCCCCCCTTTAAGACGGAGCAATAAATGACCCGAACTGGCAAAGACAGAGACAGAAAACTCCCAGTGACAAGAGGAAGGTGCAAACAAAAGGGGGGAGGGGGGTCTGGCCGGCGTCCCGGAGAAGGCCGCCCGTGTGAGGCACGCCATTTCTAATCTAACACCTTTCCCTCTCTCCTCTTTTATTATTTTTTTTCCCCCGTTTTTTGCGAGGAAATCCGCCTCGTCCTCCGCCGCTTTGGCAGCGTTTTGGCTAGCTGATGGATGTGGAGAAAAAGCCATTTAACGCCCACACACACACACACACACACACACAATAAACAGCCTCTCTTGTTTGTCCTGTGCGTGCGTGCCCGTGTGTGTGTGTGTGTGTGTGTGTGTGCGCATGCGCAGTGGGAAGGAGA